TCCCCCTCTTGTCCCAAGACGCTAAAGACTCGATGGATTCACAAGCAGTTCTGCCCCTGCTCAGAGGTCCTCACCCAGCTAACGACTAAGTGAATGCTGAAAGACAGATCACTGACATTTAAACTTCAATAAGACATTTAAACTTCAAAAGTAGGGTCAAGTATGTGAAGTGTCCCCCCAAAAGTCTGCTTTGTTTCTTTTATGCTCAAATCTAAGGGAAGGGCATAGTAAGATAGGATTTTTCTCTTCATAATTCTAGCCATAAAAGGTAAAGGCCCTCCCGTTGTTCATCGATTTGCTCGAGTGGGCTAGCCATGTCAGACATCACCTTCCCAAAACACCAAAACTAACTTCTCTGAAGAAGCTTTCCGCTGAAATTACTAGGTCTTTAGTGGGGTGGACAACAGGGAGACGATGCATTGGTGCTCTTGGATTTACCTTTCAAACAGGGTGGACATCCTTCTTTTAGGGGCCGCGGTAGGGGGCACACCCAGCAGTGCTCAGGGCTTCCTTCTTGTTCAGAGATCACTCCTCATGGGCCCGGGGGACCACAGGAGATGTCAGGGATTGAAACCAGGCAAGCAGCATGCAAGGCAAGTGCCCTACCCGCCATACTATCCCTGGCTCCCAGAAATAATTTTTTTTTGGCTTTTTTGGGTCACACCAGCGATGCACAGGGGTTACTCCTGGCTCTGCACTCAAGAATTACTCCTGGCAGTGCTCCGGAGATCATATGGGATGCTGGGAATTGAACCCGGATCAGTCGCTTGCAAAGCAAAGGCCCACCCTGCTATACTACAGCTCCAGCCCCCCAGAAATAATTCTTTAACCCCAAATTTATTCCTTCCCAATTTTAGCAATATTTGCTAGAGTGGGAAAAAAGGAAAAAACTCTTCTACTATTTTTGGGAGAAGGTTGTTACTTTAGTTTTGGGGTCACACCATGATGCTTGGGGACTACTCCCAGCTTGGCGCTCAGGGGGACCATGAGGTACCAGAAATTGAACCAGGGTCTCTCGCTTTCAATGCATGCACTCAGCCCTCTGAGTTACCGTCCCCGCACTCAAATTCCTTTTTATTAAAGAAGCATGTTTGAAAAACCTGAGTCTTGGGGCTATAAAAGATGCTTCAAAAAGTTTCTATGCACATGTAGGAACAATAGGAATTCAGAACCCAACCTACTACCAAGAAGAACTTCACTATAAAGCCAGTCGATGATCTTAATATTGTAACAGCAACTATAATAAGCGCTTGAGGACTTACTCTGTGTAAGGCTGGTATCTCATATGACCCTCAATGTAATTACTAGGTCAACTGAGGAAGGCAGGAAGGCCCAGAAGGAACCATGGTCACATTTACAAAGTATTGGGATAGTTTCCAATTTATATCAAATGTATCTTTAATGAAACATTTAGAGATAAGTTTTTTTAAATTTTTTTAATTTTTAATTTTTTGCTTCTTGGGTCACACCCGGCAATGCACAGGGGTTACTCCTGGCTCTGTACTCAGGAGTCACTCCTGGTGGTGCTCAGGGGACCATACGGGATGCTGGGAATCGAATCCGGGTTAGCTGCGTGCAAAGCAAACGCCCTACCTGCTGTGCTATCACTCCAGACCTTAGAGATAAGTTTCTACAATCCTATTTTAAACCCAATTCATCCGACTTCAGACTGAAATATTTGTTTGTTCCCTTAGGACAGGTACAATACAAGGGAACGAGAGAGTTGAATCATAACATTTATATGATAGTCCATTACATTATTTTTCTTCATTATGATGAAGTCACTACTTTACAACAGAGAAGTATAAACCAGAAATGGCCTACCCAGTGCATCTTGTTTTATAGGCAATAGGACATATTAAACTGTGAATGTTGTACCAGAAATATACTGCTCCAAACTAAAATTTCCAATCACCATATTATGGGGAGCTCCAGCACTGTCACTGTGATGATGATTTCGTCTTTTAGGTTTTGTTCCCTCAGAAGATACAAAATGGAAACCTCAGACTCATGCCTGATCTTAAAGCTCCTGCAAGCTTCCTTTTTTCAGCTTTGTTTCAGGTAGCGTGGTTTATAATACGTTAATGAGAGGGGTTTGTGCCTAATACAATCCCTCTCCACACCCTCCCCCAGAATATCCACTTTCCTCTACCATTGTCCCAGTGTTCACCCCAACCTTCAGCCTATTCCCCACCCTGCTTTATTTCTATTGAAGACCAGCTGTCAGTTTGTGTTGCCTTTGGGTATTTGTTACACCCCTACTGTGTCCCTTTATAGTCCAATACGAGAGAAATAAGTCGATGAGACCCTTTTTCACAGGGGCAGGGCGGCTGCCTAACACCCATTAAGGCAATCTCTCTAGATTGGCATCACTGGTACTAAACTCACTGAAAGATGCCTTTTTTGGTTTCTGCTCAGAATCCTAGGAAGCACAGAAACAACTCATTCACCGTATAGTTTTACTGAGAAACTGACTAAAGAAGGCAGTGGGTAAATTCGCCGCAATTCTTAGATCCACTTGCTTGCAGAGAGAACCACTAAGAGAAGATCTGCTATCAGAAGCTTTAAAGGAACAAATTCAGGGCTGGAGTGAGATTACCGCCGGTAAGGTGCAGCCAACCTGGGTGCGATTCCCAGCATCCCATACGGGGTCCCCCAGCGTGGACAGAAGTAAGTCCTGAGTGCTGCCAGGTGTGGCCCCAAAACAAAAACAAAAGATCAATAGGGGCCTGGGAGATAAACTTGGGGGATGAGTACAATATCTGCATGCGAAGGTCTGGGCTTGAGCCTCAGCACCGCATGGTTCCCTGAGCACCACCAGGTATGGTCCAAAGATAAACACGCAAATACCGAGCTGGAGGGACAGCTCCAAGGGCAGGTAAGACCCCAGTTCAAACAGCACTGCACTGCACCCCTGGCACCCCAGCAACTCTGCCCGCAGGGCTGCTCTGTCAGACACAGCATGCTCAGAACTGGCCCCCTGGAACGCCCCTGGGCACACAGCCCCCAAGGGGGGGAAACGATCATCTTTCTGTATGTTAAGGTAAATTACTCCTATGGGCCGGAGAGGTGATACAGTGGGTAAGGCTCCCTGCCTTGCACATGACCAACTCAGGTTCAATCCCCGGCACCCCCGATGGGTCCCTGAGTGCAGACCCAGGAGTAAGCTCTGTTCACTGCCAGGTGTGGCCCCAAAACATGAAGAGCAAAAACCAAACAACAGAAATACCGTATTTTATAGAACAAAAAAAATGAGAAATGAATCCAGAGTGACCTTTTAGGGGCCAGGTATGCGGCTCAGCAGCAAAGCACAGGACCTGCACACCTGACACCTGGGTTCAATCCCGGGTACCACCCCCCCCCACACACACACACACACAAAATCCTCAGATGAGAGACATCCTTCATTACAAATGCAAATGAGTCTGACTTAATAAAAGACAACTGATTTCACACATCTACGTTTGCATTCATATGTTTAAATTTTGGTTGGGCCGTGTGAAAGATGTGTCTGGAAAGAGTAATAGTACTACTGGAGTACTTTAATAACCTCAAATAATATGTCTATAATCATCTGATACTATATTGTAATTGAACACGTGGTAGATTTGTAAAGGTTACCTGTAAAGCAGAATCTTATATAATGAACTTTTCATCTTGTATTCTATTAAAAGGCATTGGACTAGGCACCAGTGAATGGGTCTTTTACTCATGAATGATTCTGTAATGTTTTGCGTTAGTCATTAGGAAAATACTGGCTGGCTGGCTGGCTGACTTATAAAGATCTCCCCAATGGCAACACATTTCAGTGGGTCATATTTTAAAATCACATATATGAATGCTAATTGATCTCACCAGAGGTTGAAGCTGAGGAAGTTGCTAGGCTTACAGTGACAGACACAAATTTTCTGAAACTGTAACTTTCACTCAAAAACTCAATACCTGCAAATACTGCCAGTCATTTTCCTTGAAGTGAAAGGTTTGTTTTAAAGAAAATACTGAATAATTAAATTTGAATAACCAAATATTGAATAATCAAAGTTTGCCCTTCCAAATAAAGATGGTATTTCATGGGGAGGAGGAGGGGACAAACAGGATTGTTCACCAATCAACTACAAGTGCAGAACCATTTTCCCCCTTAGACCAGGTAAGTATGCATTTCTGAGTTTTTTAATTAAAAAGTATTATGTGAAACTCAAGAGTTAGAATATATAATACAATTACTTTTTGTTTTTTGGTTTTGTTTTGTTTGGGTCACACCCGGCGATGCACAGGGGTTACTCCTGGCTTTTGCACTCAGGAATTACTCCTGGCTGTGCTCAGGGGACCATATGGGATGCTGGGAATCGAACCCAGGTCGGCCACATGCAAGGCAAATGCCCTACCCTCTGTACTATCACTCCAGCCCCTACAATTACTTTTTTAAAAACAACATTTAGGACCTTCTCAAATGAAACTGGCTTCTCTGATTTCAACACTGAATCCAGGCAGTGAAGGTCCTTGACTGCCGGTAAAGTTCAATGCCACTGCCTGGATTTGTGTCAAAGCACCAGCATTTTGTACCAGTGATGCCAACAAATTATCAAAAGGATAAAATGATATGAAATTTATTTTTTATGAAAAAAAAATTGGGGGGCCTTTTGGGTCATACCTGGTAGTTCGAACTCTACATTCAGGACTGGTGGTACGCAGGAGACCACAGAGGATGATGGGGATTGAACCCAGGTTGGTTGTGTGCAAGGCAAACACTTTACCTACTATACTATCCCTTCAGCCCATTACCCGCCTATACTAACCCTTCAGCCCAGAAAATATTTTTGACCTAAGAAGCACCACCGAAGATCTCAGGGGCATGCACCCTCCCAGGGGTCTGTGGATCATATTTTGAGGTTCATTAAGCTACAATGCTTATTATGCTACACACTTGTGCTATGGCTTGGATCTAGTAGGTGCTACAAGATACATCTAAGCAGAACACAACTCAGATAATGCCCTCTTACCTTTGCCGAGACTGAAGACAAACGGCTCGTTTCTGTCATGACTGGAATCAAACTTCTTCCCATTGGACAACTTCCCTTTGTAATGGACATACACTTTGTCTCCAATCATCGGCTTTTCCTCACTCCTTCCCACTCTTCTGACAATCTACAGGAGACAAACACCAAGAAAACGTTGCAACTTTTTTACTTCTGATGAGAGGACGAAAAAAACCCCCATCATCCCTTCTGTGGCACTCAGGTTTGCAGATACCTGTCTGTCCTTTTTAAGAGAGTCACACCCAGTTCTCTGCATAAACCTGTTGGATAGGTACTGATGGTAGGGAGGAAAAGCCCAGGAGAAAAGGCATTGGTCTTGCACGCAGCCAAGCCCGACTCAATTCCCAGCACCACAGGGTCCGCCAAGAACTGCCAAGATCCAAAGGAATACCCCCCAGCACTTCCAGTATAGCCCACCTCCCCAAAAAGAAGAAACAGCTCTTTACTAGTTTTTTTTTTCTTTTTGGGTGGGGGCGGTTATACCCAGTGGTGCTCAGGGATTACTCCTGACTGTGCTTGGGGGATCATGTGGGATGCTGGGAATCAAACCCAGGATCAGCTGTGTACAAGGCAAGCACCTTACTCATCATACTAAGTCTCTGGACCCCAAATGAAAGCTTTCATGCTATATTTAATTTCATTGTTTACCACACGATTCCGTCAAAAATGATTAATCAATATATCCTGCTTTATAGGACTAATGGTCCTATTGGTTTAATGCCCACTGAAGTAACACAGCTAGTTCATATACAAGCCATATTCTAATATGAAAAGATTAATGGACTTTCAGAAACATTTTAAAACACAGTTTAGAGCAAAGCTTTAAAGGTGAGATATTTCTTACTTCTCTTCTTTGCTAAAAACATTAGTTTTGGACAAGATCCCAACAGTTCCATTTAATTTCAAATTCAACCTTCCTAGTGTAGTATGTTACACCTCTAATGGGTTGAGAATATTCCATGTGTGAAAAGCAATGTCAATGCACAGTTTGATACAGCAAATTAACTTTTGGGAAAGGAAATACCAAAAAAGTTCCAACAAGAAATAGTCAGCTATTAGAAAATCCAATATATTTATTTTGTTCTTGGCAAAGCAAGCTCCTAATGCAATTGGCCAGTTCTAGGAAAAGAAAATCAAATTCAGAGGTGGGAATGATAGTACAGCAGGTAGGGAATTTTCTTTGCACATGGCCAACCCGGGTTCAATCCCAGAATCCCATATGGTCCCCAAGCACTTCCAAGGAGTAATTTCTGAGTGCAGAGACAGAAGTAACCCTTGAGCACTGTCTGAAAATCCAGACCTATGGGAATATAATTTATTCTACTACTCTATAGAGCGTTTATCTTGCATGCGGTCGACCCGGGTTCGATTCCTCCAACCCTCTCAGAGAGCCTGACAAGATACTCTCGGTAGCTTGCAAATTTGGCAAGCTCCCTGTGACGTATTCAATATGCCAAAAACAGTAACAAGTCTCGCAATTTGTTGTAAGATGTTACTGGTGCCTGCTCGAGCAAATCGATGAACAATGGGAGGACAGTGCCACAGTGCTACTCTATGAAAAAAAAATCATTTTCAGGTCATAACACCCATGAGAATCTTTATGGGGAAGAGCCTGAATTATTTTTTTCTTTTTGGGTCACACCCAGTGATGCTCAGGGGTTACTCCTGGCTCATGCACTCAGAAATCACTCCTGGCGGTGCTCGGGGGACCATATGGGATGCTGGGAATCAAAACCAGGTCGGCCATGGTGGCTGCGTGCAAGGCAAACGCCCTACCCGCTGTGCTATCGCTCTAGCCCCAAGAGCCTGAATTTCCACCTAAAGAATTCAATTACCGGGAGCAGGGGCAGGGGCCCAAAGGACTGCACACACGCTTCGCATATGGGAGGTTCCCAGCACCACCTGGTCCTCCGCCCCCATCCAGTACCTCCAGGAATTACTCTGAACTCCACAGGGTGTGGCCCCAAGACAAAGACCAACAAATAATTCCATTATTTGCTCCTAAATCCTCAAGATGGTTCTCTTACCTGACCCACACATCACCACATAAACATTGTGAACTGAGATTCTGTAACTTCCTTGTCTCCAAAGTACAGACATTCTTTAAGGGAAAAGACTCATAACTCTAATTCTATCTAGTTCTTAGATTGAATGGCTTCAATCTAAGGCAGCTGCAGTATATAAAAATTAGCATTCAGAAATCAGGTGTGTGTCCATATACTAACAAGGAAAATATCCTGAAAAGAAATAAGAGAAAAAAATTGCCTTTGCAATGGTATCAACAATAAAAGTATTCAGAAGAAATAAGGAGGTGAAAATTCTTATTTTATCACTATTTTAAAGTTATTTAATTATTTTTGGGTTTGGGGTTCACAGCTGACAATACTCAGGGGTTACTCCTGGTTCTGTACTCAGAAATTACTCCTGGTGGTGCTCAGGGAACCAAATAGGATGCCAGGGATCGAAGTGGGGTTGGCTGCATGCGAGGAAGTCGCCCTACCCACTGTGCAATCATTCTGCCCAGGAGAAGCAAATTTTTTAATCAAAAACTGTAATACCAACAAAAGAAATTGAAGACTTGCATACAAGGAGAGATAGACTGTGTCCATGGACCACAGGTTCAGGAGCCATATAGAATTGAACCCGGGTTGGTTGTGTGCAACGAAAATCTACCTACTGTACTATCGCTCCTGCCCCTGGATTTGATTTTCTTTTCTTAGAATTAGTCAACTGCATTCGTAGCTTGCATTGCCAATAAGAATAAATACTGTTAAAATGTCCAGTTTCTCAAAGCCATCTCCAGATTCAATTTAATTAATATCAAAATTCCCATGGCATTTCCCACGGAAATAGAAAAAGACAATCCTGAAATTCATATGGAACCACACACACACACACACACACAAAATTCCAATTAATCAAAACAATCTGTCCTAAAAAGGAAAAAGCTGAAGGCATAAAATCTCCTGATTTCAAACTATATTACAAAGTAAAATAACCCAAAAGTTACAGTACAAAATTAAAATAGGTACATAGGAGGGGGGATGGGGGATAAATCGAAAGAGGTGATGACAGCATGTGACTTGCAGACACTCGACCCTGGTTCAATCCTCAGCACCACACGGTCCGCAAACATCACCAGTTGAGGCACACAGATAAATGGAACAGAATAGTCAAGAAATTAACTCAAGCAAATAGAGCGAACTAAATTTTTGTTTGATTTGGGGCCACACCCGACAGTGCTCAGGGGTTACTCCCGGCTCAGCTCTCAGGAATTACTCCTGGTGTCTCTTGGGGGATCATATAGGATGCTGAGGATCAAATGCGGGTCAGGGGCTATGTGCAAGACAAGTATCTTACTGTCTGTACGAGGTTCTACCTCTCTGGCTCCAAATCAACAATAATTTGACAAGAATATTTAAAAGGGGAAGGATAATCTCTTAAATAAAGGGGCTGGAAAACTATGTAAATATACAGAAAAAGTTGGAGCCCTACCTTACACCACTCATTAGAAAAAAAAAATCTAAAATAGACTAAGTCCTCAGACTGTAAACCACTAGGAAAAAAAAAAACACAGGGAAAGCTCTTTGCCAATGAGCTTGTCAAACACAGGTGACAAGCTCTTGGATACAGTACCAAAAGCACAAGCAACAAGAGCAAAAATAACCAAGTGACACAACAAACGAAAAGCCTCGAGCAGCAAAAATCCCAACCTGCAAAAATGCAAAAGAAACCGGGGAATAAGAAAGTATTTGCAAACTATATATCTGATAAATACAAAATATGGAAGGAGTGCATAAAAGTCAACATTAAAAAAAAATCTCATTTTAAAATCGGTGAGAGGGGCTGGAGGGATAGCACCAGCGGGTAGGGTGTTTGCCTTGCACGCGGCCGACCCGGGTTCGATTCCCAGCATCCCATATGGTCCCCTGAGCACCGCCAGGAGTGACTCCTGAGTGCAGAGCCAGGAGTAACCCTTCTGCATCGCCGGGTGTGACCCAAAAAGCATAAATAAATAAAAATAAAAATAAAATGGGTGAGAAATAAACATTCCATAGAAGACATACAGATGACCAGGAGGAAGAGGCAGATAGATGCTGAGCTCCACCAATCAGCAGGTAGAGACCACTCAGCCCAAATGAGAGTGCCCACACTTAGCAGAATGACTGTCATCTGACAGACGAACAAAGGGCCAGGGGACAGCTTTGTGTCTGCCTGGCACCAACCCTGCAGTGCCCACATGCCCAGGGCTCTGTGATCCCCACCAAGTGTGTGGTCTCTGTGTGTCACAACAAGGAGTGTGTAAGCACCACAGCTGAGTGTACACGCACCACAGCCCAGTATTTGTGATCCCAGTGGCTGTAATGACAACATCCATGATCTGGGATGGAAAAAATAACAACCTTGGGCTGTGAAAATGAAATGAGACTCATGCTCTAGATTTTGGGACTTTTAGTAAGCCTCCATAAACATCATCCATTTGATCTCCAGCGAAAAAATAAATTTAAAAGATTTTTATAAGCTCTTTTTCCAGACAGCGATGCTGCCCCCTGTCCCCATGACGGGGCCTTACCTTTAAGACTCCTCGGTCTTTTTTGGAGGTAATGTCTTCTCCGCGCTCAGCGACCGCTGCAGCTGGACTTTCTCCATTGTTCTTGGCACCTTCATCAGTAGTCATTGTCTTGTATAAGTAGAAAGCCTGGTGAGAAGAAACATATTTTAGCTAGGAACAATATCACTTTGTTATGCATCTTAAAAACGTCCCTAGGTGGGAGCTGGAGTGACAGTACAGCGGGTAGGGCGTTTGCCTTGTACACGACCGACCCAGGTCCGATTCCATATGGTATGCTTCCCATATGGTCCCCTGAGCACTGCCAGGAGTAATTCCTGAGTGCAGAACCAGGAGTAACCCCTGAGCATTGCCAGGTGTGACCCAAAAAATAAAAGAAAAAAGAAAGAAAGAAAAGGTCCCTAGTAGGGGGTCAGAAAGGTAGTACAGGGGTAAGGTTCTTGATCACCTCACACATGGTCAGCTCTGCTCCCATCCCCATCATAACGTAATTGTCCACCCTAAGTACTTCTACTCTTCAGTGTCACCCTCAAGAACGTCATGCGACAACTGGAATGGGAAGGAATGGGAGTGAAGATAGATGGTCAGCAACTACACTACCTGTGTTTCGCTGATAACATCGTTCTAATAACACCAAACATTAGCCAAGCTGCACAAATGCTGGCCAAACTTCAACCGTGAATGTGGAAAGGCGGAACTACAGTTGTATCTCACGAAGACAATGTTTATGAGAAATGGTCTCACCCCTGAAGTTCCATTCGCTCTCAACTGAACAAACATCTCTGAATGCAACAGTTACATGTGCCTAGGTCGAGAAGTCAATATGACGAATGACCTGGCACCCGAGTTGCGCAGGAAGAAGAGAGCGGCTTGGAACGCCTTCAAGAGCATCGAAGAAATAGCTAAGAGGATGAAGAACTTCCAGCTCCCAGCACATCTCTTCGATTCCACTGTTCTTCCTGCATTAACACACGCCTCAGAGACCTGGGCCCTTTGAAAACAGGATGAGAATGCAATTCGGGTCTCCCAAAGAGGAATCGAAAGAGCTATGCTTGGAGTATCACGCTTCACTCAAGTGAGAGAAAGAATCCGGAGTTCCGACCTCCATCGACAAACAAGAATCAGGGATGCTGTTTTGTTTGCCAAGGCATCGAAAATCATATGGGCTGGACACGTAGTGCGATTTGGAGACGACCGCTGGACTAGAGCCATTACCGACTAGATTCCATGGGACATTAAAAGATTGTGTGGCTGCCCACCTACGAGATGGTCAGACTTCTTTGTTAAGACCCTGAGATTGGTTTGAGGCTCTTCGTGTTCCTGGAGCGAGCAAACGCCATTGGGCTACACTAGCACGCAACAGGGACGAATGGAGACGTTATTGGTGCCCGCTCGAGCAAATCTATGAGTAACGGGTTGTCAAGTGATCAAGTACTTCTAAGCACAGAGCAAGAGGGATAGTCTCTGAGCACTGCTAGGTGGGGTGCAAATTCCACACCCACCCACCCCCAGTTTCCCCCAAAGTGTCCCAAGCATCCAACCTTTACCCAAGCTAATGTTTAATAAGGTCAGAAGACAAAAGTAAAAAAAATTTGCTATGACCATATATTGATGATGTGAATCAAGTATCAAACATCATCAACTCTTCCATTTCCCATCCAGGTCTGCGGCAAATGAAAGAATAAGTAAGATTTGCGGTGATAATACACCTTAGCATGACGACACAGTGAGAAGCAGTCCTCCAAGAACCATGAAAATACACCTTCCTAGAGCCGTATTCTTGACAGAATTGAGAACTTACCAGGTAATCTGATGTGGCCAGGGATGTGGCTCAGCAAGAGAGCACATGCCTTGCCACATGCCTCGCCATTTGTGAGTCCCTGGGTTTGATCCCTGGAAACACACAAACACACACAACCACCACCACCACCACCAGCAACAACAACAACAAAGAAATGGCAGTGCATCACAGTGGCAAACAGAATAGGTTTTGGATGCTGACAGACCAGAGTCTGAAGACCATAATCTGAGTCCCAGAAGTATAAATTAGACATTTGCAAACTGAATCTCATTTGCAAGTGAGCATTTCTGATTATTATTAGTTCCTAGTCCACAATTTTCATTTCCTGCTCAGGGACTCTTCTCTGGCATGATCCTCACGGCCCTTCCCAGCCAATTTGAAGCTCTGATCTTCCAGGTGGCCCTCCCCAAATTCTCCTCCCACACACCGGTGCTTTCTCCTCTCTGCTTTTCTTTTTTTGGTTGATTTTCAGGCCATACCCGGCAATGCTCAGGCCTTACTCCTGGCTCGGCACTCAGGAATCACTCTGGGTGGTACCGGGGGGAACATATGAGATGCCAGGGAATCGAACTCGGGTGAGTTATGTGCCCACCCTGCTGCACTGTCACTCCGGCCCCTCTTCTCTGTGCTTCTGGCAACTCGTTTCCTCTCCAGCGACACCTCCGTACCAGCCGTGACCTTCTGCTGAAGGCTGGCTACCCTTTCCTGTCCTTCCCTGCCGCCTCCCTGCCACGCTGTCTGGAAACACATTCGCAAGACCCATCTGTTAGATTTATGAGATCTTTGAGAGCAAGTGCCGCGCTTGGTTCTTATTTAGATTCCCTCGAATGTTTCATCCTCTGGGGCGGGTAAGACGACAGGGCCAGGGATGTGGAGCTGTTTTGAAGCCAGCCCTTGAACTTCCTGAAACCTTCCTATGTGAATTAGAATAAGAACAGCACCTGCTGTTACTGAGTGATTGACTGGCTTAATGCCGCAGTGTATCGTTTGAAAAGTATACTATTTAAATATTAGCTCTTCTGGTTATTATTGGTCACTGACAGGCAGCTTTTCATGCGAGGTAAACCCATGTAGGCTAATCAACAGAGCAAACAATGCACACTTCCCCGGTCACAGCCCTTATTCGCTCTACACTGCTCTCCAGGCAAGCGGGAAAAGCAAGAATTAATCACTTGCGGGGCTATTCCATTGTGGGCTCATAAAAGACACCAGGCTCCAGGAAGTAAACTGCTCGGCCTGCTGCCTACCATCAGGAAGGGCTACTTTGCACTTGAGGAAAATACCTTGATATATCTGCTAACCAGACAATTACAATCATATCGCCATGGTTTCACTCCCAGCTTATTGGTGGTTTAGCTTGCATCTTATTGACCTAAATTTACTCCAGCATCAGCAGAAACACAAACCAGAGTGTGCTGTGTCAAATAATCTTCGAGGAGAATATAGAGAAGTAGGAGCAAAGGCCCTTTTGGCTGCGTTTTCTAGCAGAGTTTATACAAAACATAAAAGAGCCAACTGTTTGGCTCAGGTAAGTGCAAAATGACCCAAACAAATCTTTTTCAAAAACAAGAATACACACACACACACGCACACACACACACACACACGCAAAAAAAAAAAAAACCAACCTAAGGACTTTTTTGTATGTGATGCTGGGCTAGGAAGTTGAGAAGTCTGACAAACTCGGTTGGTTCCCAGCTTCTAGACATCACCAGATTTGTCTGATACAAAGAACCTTGTAGACTGTATAGCAACAAAAGAGGGCAAAATGCTTCCACTTCTTTGGCTTTCCAAACAGTGCTCTGGCGATACTCTGCTGGTTGTGTAAGTCTGTGGGTTCAGTGCTAGTTCCCAGTGATGAGGCGCAGCGAGGGAACACCCAGGACACCGCAGTTGTGCTCTGGTGGCCATGCACTGCTGGGGTTTGAACACTGAATAGGTCTAGCGCACCTGGTCATGAAGGGGCCAGTCTTGGCTCTCTGCACAGGGGTCACTCCTGGCTGTGCACAGGAACCTTCTATAGTGCCCGGGATTAAGTTGAGGTCAACCTCATGCAAGGAGGCGTCTTACCCTTACATAATTGCCCTTTTTCTTTTTTGGGACACACCCAGTCATGCACAGGGGTTACTCCTGACTCATGCATTCAGGAATTACTCCCGGCAGTGCTCAGGGGACCAGATGGGATAATGGGAATCAAACCTGGGTCGGCCACATGTCCTATCCACTGTGCTATTGCTCCAGCCCCACAATCTCTTCTTTTCAAAAGCTTCTTTTTGTTTATCTTCAATTATTTATGCGTTCCTTTTCAGATGACTCCCATGCTACTCAGAACAGTTCTCTGGAATTACTGATTGCTCTCTCCCGCAATGTTAATATTTTGGGAGAGGATGGGGGACGCTCAGGGGAGTTACTCCTGGCTGTGTATTCAGGGATCATTCCTGGCAGGGTTCAGGGGGCCACGAGGGGTGCCGGGGATTGAACCTGGATTGACTACAAGAAAGGCAAGCGCCCTACCCATAGTACTATCTCTCAGGCCCTCTACCTCTTGCAATGTTTGTACTAAAAATCAAGAGCAGGGCCTGGACGAGAGTTCAGAAGACTGGAGTGCATGTCCAGCCTGTGCAAGCCCTGGGCATGATCCCCAGCACCCGCCCCACTTCCATCACTAAGCGGGGAGTAGCCCCTACACACGTGATGTGACCTCAAAAAGAAAAAAAAAGTTGAAGAGGGGTCAGAGATATCGGGAAGCGGGTAAGCTTGTTATTCTAACTTTTTTAATTCTATCCAAAATGTGCTTTTATAACTCCCCCCGCCCCAAGGCAAGGTTCAGCCAAGGCAGACTGCTGCATCTCACTGTTATATTTCATTAGAGTACCTGTATTAAAAAAGGGGACATATTTGGGGATGTATGTCGGGGATGGACTGGTGGGGTGGACTGTCACACCTGGTGGTGCACAGGGCTTGCTCTTGGCTCTGTGCTTCAGGGATCGCATCTAACAGTGCTCAGGAGACCCCTGTGGTGCCGGGGGTCAAAAGGAGGTCAGCTGTGCAAGGCAAGTGTGTAATGCTCTGTACTATCTTTCAGATGCCCTTCGGTTTCCAGTAACTAATATTCTTGAGGCATCCAGGTCAGTTGTCTTGTGCACAGTGTCACGTGTGCTTTTGCCATTTCTTCTTGGTTTGTTTCGGATGAAGCAGTTTGGGTAGGAATGCCACCTGGGGTAAGGGACCCTTCCCGTGAAGTCCCAGGGGCTTCAGTCACAGCGGGTTGTGTTACTGTGCGGGGTGCAGAGTTTCATCACTGTGCAAAACTCTAGTCTTGGGGGCT